TTCCAGACCAGCCTGAGCAAGAGCGAGACCCCGTCTCTACTAAAAATAGAAAAAAATTAGCTGGACAACTAAAAATATGTAGAAAAATTTAGCTGGGCATGGTGGCACATGCCTGTAGTCCCAGCTACTCAGGGGCTGAGGCAGGAGGATAGCTTGAGCCCAGGAGTTTAAGGTTGCTGTGAGCTAGACTACCGCCATGGCACTCTAGCTCAAGCAACACAGGGAGACTCTGTCTCAAAAAAAAAAAAGGAAAAATCTATCCCTAGAAAACAATAAACACAGAAAAGCTTTAAGCACAAAGAAACTGGGTTCAACTAAATAATCCAAACTAGGAAAATGCTCTACAGAATACAAGACATTAAAAATGTAGCATCTGTAATAACAACATAAACATTTTTCCATGTTAAATAGAAAAAGGCAGAATATATAATCTAACATAGGATACACTTTCAATGAGGAATGCAAAGAAAAAAAATACTAGAAGAAAAAAAGTCAGAAATAGCTGTCTTTAGAGAGTGAGACTCTGGAAAATTTTTTCTATTTAATTAAAAAAATAACAGCTTTACAGAGATAATTTTTCTATTTGACTTTTTTTTGTTCCTAAAATTTCCATAATGAACATGCAAATACTTCTATAATAGTAACAGCTTTAAAAGCTTTAATAAAAAAGGCAGAGAAATAGAGTCTGCTCACTTCTTTTGTATTAAAATACTTCTTTAAAAGGCTTATGAGACTGAAAACTTACTATGTGCTGAGAATTGCATTAAGTGTTTTATAACATTTTATCCCATTTAATCCTCAGGACAACACAACAGATAGGTAATATTATGTAGACAACCTGAGGAACTTCATACTTCCAGCAAGCAATAGGGCCCAGATACTAGGCTAAACGGTCTGACCTTAGAGAATCTGTGCACAATCTCTATACCATTAAATAACCTCCTCGTTAACTTTTTTGGTTCTTTGTAAGCATCTACTACAATTTACTATTTCCAGGCAATTTTATTTGTATTTTATGTATTTATCTGTTTTTTATGTTAGTAGATATGTTTAGCTTTACTGAAATATAATTTACAATATCATACAATTCACCCAAAATGTACAATTTTTTAATGGTTATTGAACAGAATTATGTGACCATAATCACAGTTTCTGAATCACACCAAAAAGAAACCCCTTACTCATTAGTAGTCATTTCCCACTTCTCCCCAACTTTCCCAAGCAACCACCAATCTACTCTCTGTCTCTATGGGTTTGCCTGGGCATTTTCTGTAAATGGAATCATACACTATGTGTTTTTTTGCATCTGGCTTCTTTTGCGTAGCATGTTTTCAAGATTCATCCATATTGTAGGATGTATCAGTACTCCATTCCTTTTGATGACCAAAAAAAATTCCATTGTATGGATATACCACATTTTATATACTCATTTTTTTTTTTTTTTTTTTGAGACAGAGTCTCACTTTGTTGCCCAGGCTACAGTGAGTGCCGTGGCGTCAGCCTGGCTCACAGCAACCTCAAACTAATGGGCTCAAGCAATCCTTCTGCCTCAGTCTCCCGAGTAGCTGGGACTACAGGCATGCGCCACCATACCCGGCTAATTTTTTCTATATATTTTTAGTTGTCGGATTAATTTCTTTCTATTTTTAGTAGAGA